CATGTTCCCTCTCTTACTTGTAACCTTATCTCTATTAGCAAACTTACGCTGAGTTGCATTGTGTTGCTAAGTTCTCTGCAAATGCTTGTATCTTTCAGGAACAGGACTCAGGGATGATGATTGGCATTGCTAGAGAGGAAGAAGGGCTCTACTATTTTAAATAAGATCTTTGTGAAAGGAGGATTTTTTAGAACCACTTTCTGTGTTTATCAGATGACTGTAATGATGTTTTGTTATGGCATCGTAGGTTAGGACATCCAAATTTTGGTTATCTTCAGAAGTTATTCCCGAACTTATTTATCAATAAAAAGCCAAGTTCTTTTCTTGGTGATATTTGTCATCTTGCAAAGCATTCTCGTGTCACTTATTCTCCTAAGAAATATCATGAATCTTCTCCCTTTACATTGATTCATAGTGATATTTGGGGACTTGCTCGTGAAAAAAATGTCTCGGGTGCTCGTTGGTTTATTACTTTCATTGATGATCATTCTAGGGTATGTTGGGTATATCTCTTAAAAGATAAGTCTGATGCGGCATCCACTTTTAAAAACTTTCATGCTATGATTCAAACTCAATTCCAGACCTCTATCAAAATTCTGCGAACAAACAATGGTACTGAATATTTTAATTCTGTTCTTGGAGATTACCTAAACCAACATGGAATTATTCATCAAAGTTCTTGTCTTAACACCCCTCAACAAAATGGGGTAGCTGACAGGAAAAATAGACATCTAATTGAAGTTGCTCGAGCTCTCTTATTCACGATGCATGTCCCTAAAATATCTGTGGGGGGAAGCCGTCTTGACAGCCTCTTATCTCATTAATCGGATGCCTTCTCGGGTACTAAATTTTCATTCTCCTTTATCCTGTCCTACTAAATCTTTTCCCTCTTTCAGTGCTCTTTCTTCTCTTCCTCCCAGAATATTTGGCTGTGTGGTTTTTGTGCATATTCCTCCACATCACAGGTCCAAACTTGACCCTAAACCTATTAGATGTGTCTTCATAGGATATTCTCCTAATCAAAAAGGTTATAAGTGTTACTCACCTTCTCTCCGTAAGGTTTTTGTTTCCATGGATGTTACCTTTTATGAGACACAATCTTTTTTTTCCCCGACCTCTCTTCAGGGGGAGTCTATTGGTATTGGTATGGATGAAGATAAGCTCGGAAAACCAAATGATGCTGCTGTCTTACCTTGGCTTTTGGAAACAGGGAGAGTTATTGGGAAGAAAACAGGGGAACAACTATACCTGAGTCTAATGATCCTCCTTGTGATCCTCCTGGTAAATGGGGAAAATTTTACAGCAAGCGCAAAACACATCAAAATACTCTAGCCTGCCAGGATCCTGACTCGAGTCCTTGTTCCAGCAACCCACTTGAATGCAGTAGTACAACCAACATTGATATGCCTATTGCTCTTCGGAAAGGTACTAGATCTTGCACTGCTCATCCTATTTCTCATTATATCTCATATGAGAAGTTGTCTCTAGGTTTTCGTGCTTTCAACACTATGTTAGATAGTACCAGGATACCCAAAAATATCCAAGAAGCATTTGATGACCCAAAATGGAGGAATGCAGTATTAGAAGAAATGGATGCACTTATATAAAATGGAACATGGGAGTTTGTGACATTACCTAAAGGAAAGAAAATTGTTGGTTGTAAGTGGGTGTTCACAATGAAATTTAATGCAGACAATGGCATCAATAAGTATAAGGCCAGATTAGTTGCTAAAGGATTTACTCAGACTCATGGGATAGATTATCAGGAGACATTTGCTCCTGTTGCCAAGCTTAACACTATCCGCGTTCTGCTATCTCTTGCCGCCAACCTTGATTGACCATTGCAACAGTTAGATGTTAAGAATGCCTTCTTGAATGGTGATCTACATGAGGAAGTTTACATGGATCCCCCTCCTGGTTTTGAAAAAGGGGATGGTTTTGTGTGCAAGTTGCAGAAGTCTCTCTATGGACTTAAATAGTCTCCCAGAGAATGGTTTGGGAAATTTACTCAAGCTGTTAAGGGAAGAGGATTCACCCAAGCTTAGATTGATCACACTTTATTTTTTAAACACCGACAAAGGTAGAATTGCTATTCTGATCGTCTATGTTGATGACATAATTGTCACTGGAAATGATAGCGAGGAGATAACCTTTTTAAAAAAATGTTTAGCTGACCAGTTTGAACTAAAAGATGTTGGATCTCTCAAATATTTCCTTGGCATGGAAGTTGCTCGGAGTAAGAAAGGAATTTCTTTAACTCAGAAAAAATACATTCTAGACCTGTTGCAAGAAACAGGTATGCTTGGGTGCAAGTCGGCAGAGACTCCAATTGAAGCTAATATCAAGATGGGAGTTGAGGACGGGGAAGATGTTGATAGGGAGCAGTACCAGAGACTAGTGGAAAAATTAATCTATTTGTCTCACACTCGTCTTGATATTGCTTTTGTTGTGAGCATGGTTAGCTAATTTATGCATTCTCCTAAGGAAAAACACCTTAGTGTTGTTTATAGAATTCTCAAGTACCTCAAAAACACCCCTGGTCGAGGAATTCTCTCTAAAAAGGGGAACAAAAGGATGATTGAAATTTATACAGATGCAGACTGGGCTGGCTCTGCAATGGACCGAAGATCACTTCAGGATATTGTACTTATGTCTGAGGAAACCTTGTGACTTGGAGAAGTAAGAAACAAACTGTTGTTGAAAGAAGCAGTGCTGAAGCGGAATTTCGAGCTCTAGCCCATGGTATTTGTGAAGGAATTTGGTTAAGAAGGCTTCTGGAGGAGTTGAAGATCTCTTATTCCCTACCTATCAGATTATATTGTGATAATAAGGTTGCTGTCAGCATTGCTCAAAATCTTGTTCATCATGACAGAACAAAACATGTGGAAGTTGATCGTCACTTTATCAAAGAAAAATTAGAAGACGGTAGTGTATGCTTGTCATATATACCTACCAAGGAACAGACGGCAGATATTCTCACCAAAGGATTACTTAAGCCGACCTTTGAGGATTTGATCAGCAAGTTGGGAATGATCAATATATATCTCCCAACTTGAGGGGGAGTGTAGAATATTCTAGATTGTGATTTATCATTTATTGCTTTTTTGCTATCTGTTCCCTTATTTATTAGTGTCTCTTGTTATTGTAAATGAGTGTCTTAGTTTACTGTTTCTATTTATTGATGTAGCTCACTGTACTCAATATAAAAAGGACCTATTGGGTCTCTCAATGAATCAAGAAAATGTGTTATTCAGACAAAACACTTCTTCTTTTCTTCAAATGATCGTAGAAAAAAGAAGAAATAGAACAAGGCCCAAAGTGATAAGTCCATGGTGAATCAGGTATTGATGGCTGTTGAGAAGGAAAATGTGGAAAGTGAGTTTGTTATAAGGAGTTACACATGGAATGCTTTGAATGGAGAGGAGGTAGTGGGTGGAAAGAAGGAAAGTGAGTCAGTTATAAAAAAGAAGGCTGAGGGAGTGAAGGAATCAGCGAGCCAGTAAGCAAATTGGTGAGGTAGGGGAGCTTGATGAGGAGTTGGGTGCTTTTCCTCATTAAGAGAGGTCGCAGTTGGTGCATTGGTTCTTCTGCATTTCTTCTTTAATTGTTTAGTGTATTTCAATTACAGATACAGTGTCTAGTAGGTTTATCCGTGAGAATTTTTCAGTTTTACTGTTTCATTTATCTTGTAAGGTTGGTTATTGTAAGGGCTTGTCACAATATTTCAATATAAGTGCATTGTTCCTGGTTACTGGTACCATCAAATTCCAATGGTTGAGATAGTACAACCAACCTTATTCCTTAGCAACTCCAATTGTCCTCCTAGTGTGAGATCCTAAAAGATACAATGAGTTGAAAAGCATGTCATGACTCATGACACAATTTAAATCTTTGGTAAGTTTATGAGTGGAGATAAGATTATTGGAGCGTTTGGGATTATGAAGCATATTTTTAAGGCATAAGGAGGTTGGAGTTGAATGTTGTCAAAACCTGAAACTATAGTATGAGAATTAGAGATGGATTCATTAGACAAAAAATAATTAGAGCCATGTCATATGTTTGGCTGCACCATAGTCAACAACCCGTGATTTACTAGAATCATTAAGGGAGCGTTTGGTTGAGGAGAATTTTTTTGAATATTAGGGAAATGTAATTACTAGAGAAATGGTTGGAAAGTGAGTTTGGTAGAAAAATGTAAAAAAAGTTGTTTGGTTGGGAAAAATTTGGTAAATATTATAAAGTCTATGTTTGGATTGAGTTAAAATATTGATGGGAAAATGAGTTGCAATTACCAAAATACCCCTTATATTGATAAAGTCTATAATAAATATTTTTAAATAGTGCTATAACAGTGGGTATTTTTGGCATGTAAATAGTCCCCTTTCTTCCATTAGCATAGAGAACTTGAAATACCATCATGCAAAGGGTCTTTCTCAACAGTGTTTTTTCCCCATTTTTACACACAATTGTAAATGGCTAGGCAACACCAATGCATAGGAAAAAATTTCAAAAACTTTAACCAAACAAAGAAATCCAAAAAAGACACAATCAGATGGATGAGTAAATTCTACAAAAACCTGAAACAAACACCCCCTAAGAAGCAATAAAAGATCTAGAGCAAATGGATAGACAGTGCAAGCGGCTGGGGTCAGCTGCAATGAAGGCAGATTAAGGTTATGTGGAAGCAAAGTCTCCCAGATTGGCAGCTCTGGTAACAAGTTGAAACTTTGAATTATAATCTGAATTTTTTGCTTGTATATTCATGTATAGATGTTTACAATTTATAAACTAATGTCTGTAGAAAAAGTCAAGAGTTTTTTATGCACAAATTTAAAGGTGGTTGAGGCACCTTAGAGTTTGTGTAGTTGTTTAAAGTTGACTCAACCACCTTTGAATAATTACACAATTATGAATTCTATATTTACAACATTATCTAATAATTGTATCTAAATATGTATGCTCATTTGATTGTTGAGTTAATATTTTATGGTTTGATGCAGGATTTCAAAACCTCCATATCTCGGAATTCAGCAGAACAAAATGTAATCTTGAGTAATTATCAGAAGTTGAATTCTTGCTTAAGACAAAAAATGTCCGAGCTTGAGAATGAGAAGGTAAGGTTGCCTTTCTTATGATCTATTTCTAGTTGTATCTGGGAGGTATTGGTCCAATTTTTGTGTTGCAGATTCTTTTGGACAACCAATTAGCTGATCTTCAAAAGCATCTTCATGAATCAAAACTAGAAGCTCAGAATTCCCAAAATTCTTTGATGGTTGGCCTTAATTTGATGATATGTTAATCTGTACTATCTCTTATATTGTTTGAATGTGCAATACAGCAAACAAGGAGCACTAACTGTTTATTATTCTTACAGGAACGCTTTGAACAACAGGAATTGGAAAATGCAGAGCTGATTTCATATATTAAGACTCTTGAGAAAGATATATCATGTTTAACATCATCTTCAGTAGCCAAGGAAAGGGAAACTTTAAGAAAAGATCTTGAGAAGGCAAAAGCCAAGTCAAAAGAAACTGAGTCCAAGCTTAAGATTGTCATACAAGAGAAAACAAAACTTGAGGTTTATTTAGCTATATCCAAAGATTTCTTGGTGTCATTGTAAGCTATTAACTTGTCAAAGTCATGATTTTATTCCCTAACATATTATGTATACCTTAGGGTGAGAAAGCCTATGCTGAACGTGAGATTAAACGGTTGCACAGTCAGAACTCTCTTCTTGAACGTGATATCAATAAACTCGATTCACTTGCTGGTAGAAGGCGTGATTCAATTGTTGATAGGAGTTCAAAGATGTTCGATCCTAAAAGACCAAAAAGTCTTGCTTTTTCTCTGGAACAAACATTACAGGTTTTGACATTGGGACTTGATATATGCTTGAAGAAACTGTGGTTATTCTTTGAGCAAGCCTTTAACTCCTTTTATTTACAACGAATCATAGCAAGAAAAAAATGTGTTTTATCAGTGCTTTTGTTTATAGTGAGAGTTGATTGGCTTTTATCAAAATTCGGCACACTTGTTCTTTTTGTTATTTGTATGTGCGTACATGTGTCTAAAAGCACCATTTCGTAATTCAGGCTTGTTGGTAAAATAAGTTATGTGCAGTTAATCTAAATGACAGCACCAATAAAAAATAATAGATAGAATGTTTCTCTGTAAACCTTTAATATGATTTGTATCAAAGATTATAACATTTCATTAACTAATACAGGCTTGTATAGTGAATCACTTATACAGTGGATGGTTTGTAATATTCAACAGGCCACATTTCAGCATATTTATCTGTTAATAGGATGTGATTATGCCATTCCTGAGCTCTTGCCTTGCAGTTTCATCATTATGCCGTTGTATATAAAGTTATGAACATGTTTGACTGTTTTCAGATCTAGAAGAGGTTTCTTCATCATGATTAGAATCATTTTGATGCACAATTATTTGTCTTAATATATTTTATTTTTTTAAGTTTCTAAGTAGGATAACTAATTTTTTTTCCTTACATATATATTGTCACTGATCAGGAAGAGCACAAAAAGCTGGAAGTTTTTGCATTTGAATCGGAAACAAGAATCACTTCATTGGAAGAAGAACTAACGGCTGCATTGAAGGATAAAGAAGAGGTGATATCTATTAACGAAGGTTTGACTTCAGAGCTAGAAGGCTTAACTGAAAAACTGAATACATCAACCTATGAACTGTATAATTTGAAGGAGGAGATCTCAACTCTTGTAAGTTTTTCTGTGAAGTTCTTCCTAGGTTTTTCTTTTCGACCCAGTTGTTAGAAGACAATGTCTAATAGCCTCTATGCATTTTCATTCAAAAATCATATCTGGCATCTTATTATTCTCCATCCAGAGACAAAGGTTGGAAGAATCTGATCTCAACCAAGAAAACTTAAAAAGCTCTATCAAAGTATTGATGGAAGAAAAGGAGGAGTTGGCAATGGTAGTTCAACTTCAACTGTCCTTTTCTTTCTTTTGATGGTGATTCTTCCCTTTTCTGGGGATTTGTTTTTAAGTTAAAGTTGTGTCATTATTCTTCCTTGTTCTTGCAGCAACTCACAGATTCCCTTTTGGGAATAGAAGAGGAAAAGGCGATATGGTCTGCCAAGGAGAAAGATGCACTTCTAGCCATAGACGAACAGACAAGGTCAAACAATGTGCAAATTACAGCATTATCAACAGAATTATCAGAAGTAAGATTCAGGGCTCTGCGGCTATTTAGGAGACCTTGATTAATATCTCGTTTTATAGGTATTGTTTCATACATGGGGTTCTTGAAGCTGCAGTATTTGTTCAGATTCTAATGACTCCTGCATTTACTGGAATGCATTTGTCTTTTTTTGTTTTTTTTATGGTTTAGAATTAGAACATATATGTTCTTTATAGTTTTTCTGTTAATATATGCACAAATAATTGCATGTAAGCTCAAGTTTTAATCATGAAATTTGGGAAGATGTCTCTTTAGATTCTGACGCAGTAAACATAATGGCAATATCAAATCAGAGAATAACTCTACCATTATTATTTACTTTGGTATATAATTTTGTTATGATATAACCCTGTAGCAAATAATTCCATGTATCATCCCGTTGTCATACACAAACTTCATCTAAATCGGTTAACTTACACTACGATACAAGCAGTTAAGTAATTATGTATTATGAAAAAAAGTGAAGTAAAGTAGAAAAGGATTGATAGAGTCTTACATGGCTATTGTCAGAGGTGTTTTCAAGTTTGATAGATGAAATTTCTTTTAAATTTTTGTGTCATCATCTACTTAAATTGATAAAATTTGTCTATAAATGTAAGGTAAGAAATGAATTGGAATCATATAGAGAAGAATGTTGGACTCTCCGGGAAAGATTGACTCATTCATGGGAAAATGCACATCTCAAGGAAAAACCCAGGTTTGTTTAGCTTATTATATTAATTTATTTCCCTATTTCTTGTCTCTTCTTGCTTTCTTATTTTTCCAAGATTTTCTCTTGTTATATGTAACTTGGTATCTTGCAAAACATTTTTGAAATCTGGCATACTATACTAGATTTGATCTTGCATGCTATACTAGGGCCTAAGTTTGTCTGACAGGTTCTCAATACTATCCCTAGCAACAAGCCAAGAACATAAAGTATGTGATTGCATAAAGATCAATCAAAGTTTAAACGTACCAAATTTATCGTTGTAGAGGTTTAGTGTAGTAACTAGTAAGGATCATTTCACCAAATTTATCGTTGTAGAGGTATAGTGTAGTAAGGATCATTTCGATTGTTATTAAACTAAATTATCATACCAAGATTATTGGGGGTTTGTAGATGCCTGTTGGGCTGAGATGTGCTCTAGGGAATGTGGGAGCAAAATAATGAGCAAATATTGCATCCGATGAGCAATTAGTCAAATAGAGAGCAAATCTACCCAAACTGCGCAACCGTACGCATCAAGTGCGTATGCTTAGGAACTTGGATATAGCCTCCCCAGTCTGCTATTCCCAGTTTTTGTTTTTGTTTTTTAAATTATGATGGTCAGCCAGCTTTAGCTGTCTCAAATAAATTTAACCATTATTCATGCCGTGTTATTTTATGGCTTCAGGGAAAAGGTTTTAGATTTAGATCAACTGGAAAATCACCTACAAACAGTTGATGCTGAGAGCAAACAATCGCGAGAAGTAAGGAATATTAATTGTTAATAATTTCTTATGCTTATGATTTACTGTAGAAGATTTGCCTTAGAAAATTGTGAATATGTATAACTTGGGACCTTGGAACAAAGATCTGTCTATCAAAATCCACGCAATATTAGTTTTACTGATCATATCAGGTTACTTTATAGAATCTCGAGAGCAAACTTTCCATTGTGACGGTAGAAAGGGACAAATTGATGACTCAGGTGGAAGATGTACAGAAACAAGTTATGGAAGTGGAATCTCTGCAAAAGCATTACCAGGCTGAGGTAGACTTAAAAGGTTATCTTTTGGTAATTACATTCTAAATTCTGTAATCCCGTTATGGCATATTCCTTTTTTTTTCTTTTTCTTTTTCAGTTATCAAAGGCAAAGGACCATGTTGAGGAGCTGAGTCAGAAAATTTCCTGCATGGAAATCAAAATGCATGCGGTAAGTGCTATATTGGGTTATCTGTTTCAAATTTGGCTTTTTTCTATTTGTTTATTACGTATGCCAATTGCCAAGCCACTAGTTTGCTCAAAGAATAATTGATGTATATAGATTAGTCCCACCTTAAGTTTAGAAAGATTCACCCACCTTAAGCTATAGACTAGTCCCATGCTTGAACATTGAAATAGGAGTCATCATAGTTGACATCAGTATAAAGTTTTTACCTTCTAATTTTATGAACAGGATGAAGCAACAAATCACAAAGGGATGGCTAAACATAGAATGAGACTCCGTGGATTACAAGCTAAGCTAGATGCTTACCGTAATAGATATAAGGATGCAATTGATGACTCAGTTTTAATGAATACAAAGTATGAAGAAGCTTCACGGAAGCTGAAAGACCTGTTGGCTTCGAAAGGAATAGAGGTGCTCAACCTAAAGAAACAGCTAGCTGCTGCCAAAGGTATAACCCCCAAAAAAATTTCTTTTAATCACTTTAGAAATTCAAGACGGATGGAACACTTTTGGGGCCAAGAGAAATATATTTAGAACCAAATGTTTAGCTATTGAAATAATAAAGAATGGGAATTGTAGTTTACCAAAAAAAAATAATGGGAATTGTAGGAGCAATACTAACACACTAAATACTTTAGTGGGCCTCTTATGATAATCATGGTTGTGTTTTATATATATATATATGGGCTGGTTATTAAAATTTGATAAAAAAAAAAAAAATTATGAGGAACCCACTTCAAAATTGGACACCACTAACCCATATTCTTTCCAACGTACCTTAACTATTATTTTTCTCCATACGGTGACATTCTTCACCTCCAATAGTAGTACATGCATTCACCTACCTTCTTTCCTTGGGAATCAGCCGAGAATACCATCTCCAAAAAGGTCACCATTTCAGATGTTGTTTTCTTCTCTTTCCCTTTTTCCTTTTTTAGTCGTTACTTAGCCCTATCCAACTTGAGTTAAACACCCAAAACTTTTTATCCTTCTTCTTCCATAGTTAAATTGCAGAAATTATAAACCATAACACCCTTGTTGTCCCGTCTTCCTCTTTGACCTTCAGACTTCTTTGAACCTGGAAATTTCCAATTCTGTCACTGAAAGGAAGAATACATTAAGTAGGAAATTTTTGTAAGAAATCAGTAGAAACTTGAAACCAAAATTTGTGTATCTTTTGGAACCAGTGGTCTGATGATTTGGGGGGGGAATTTTGCAGCTGTGAGTACGCTTGGTAGGGAGACTTTGAGTGAAGAATTCGCTGAACCACTTGGATAGACAAGCGGAAGATAACTTGGTAAGTTAAAAGCTCCTTTATTTTCTGTGTTTCTCGGTTGTGAGTGGGTGTGGCTATAGAAACTGAATTATGTTGAATAATACAATTGTTAGTAACCTTTATTTATGCATGTATGTTGAAAATAATAGATGTCAAACTGTTTTAATTAATTATGCATGCACAATTCTGGAATGAATATGGCTGAAAGGGTGATAATATATGATGGTAACTCCTCTTGCATCTTGGTTAGCTTGTGTAGTTAGGAAGTTTTGGTAATTTCCTCTCAAGCATTTTACTCTACTATACTTGAGTAACAGACCTTATTGGAGTAAATGGAGGCATTTACTCAAGTAAGGCCACTAACAGTATGAAGTTTTCGTGTGATTAATGTCGGAATTTTTGTAAGTGAAATGGGGTAAGAGATAACAACATTGGTTGCTGGCTGTATAATTAACTACTGGAAAGGAATGATAGTACTAGTACTATGTGAATGATGTTAATAGATAAAGAAGAATGATCCTCAAGGTGATGAGGTGACTTCGGTGCCACAACGTGATAATTACCATCGTCATACGATGGGGACACCCATCGGAATGCTTGAGCCAGGCACTTTTAATTTGGACAATTGCGGCACATGAAAGGAAAATGGGAATAATAAATACCTTCCATTGTAATGGCTTGCTTTCAATATGACTTGTAGGCCTCATTTTCATTTCTGTATGTATGTATGTATGTATAAAATTTTGACCTCTGCAGGTAAATTGATTATTTGAGTGCTAACCTCACCATTACACCAGTTCTTGAAGGTTTAGGAGGGTTTAGCTTATTGAGATTCCATTCTCACCCGTGATGGGGATTTTTTGTTTCTGGAAATCAAAATAGTGATGATGCTCCTGGCCTTGGAAGTACTAAATAGATGATATATATGGTGCTCTACTGTCATTTTGGTTGTATTTGGCAATCTTGAATCAAAATGATGTTGAATGAGAACTCCATGTATTTTGATAGTTCTAAGATGGATGGATGTGATTTGATATACGTAAATTTTGTATTGAGTTCCATGGTTCTGTATGTGCTCAAGATAGGTTTCAACTTAATGATGGATATAAAACCCTAATGTGTGTAGTTCCTATAAATGGGGAGATGACTAATTTGAAATTTAGAAAATTTTTGGAACAGATTTGTAATTTAGAAATTTTCAGAATTTTAGCAAATTCTGAAAATTAAGGAGCTGAAGTGTAAATACTAATAGTCTGTTAGAGTTATGTTATGTTGAGAGAAGGTCCATATCAAGTGACTACACCTTTCAATTGTGATGCATGTTGGGGTTGTAGAATTCTTAACATGAGCATGGTTTCATAGAATCAATTTTAATTATAACCACTCTATCTTCCAAAAAGTGAAGTTCATCGTGGGAGAGTAGGAGTTTTTCATGATTTGTGCCCAGACCATCCTTCTTGCATGTGAGAAAGTATTGCATCATCATCTCCACTGCCATGGTTCCTCAAATTTCCCAAGTCAGTGAGAGGAGAGAAAAATCCCTTCTTCTGCTCTCCAAAGCACCCATAGGAAGTTAAGTTTGACAACTATGAAAAATGAACATCTTTTAAGCGAGGATGGGTGACGGGTGTGAGCAAGGTGAGCACAATTTATCCTTCTATTTCTTCCAACACATTTCGGGATCCTATGGGGGAAGAAGAATTGTAACTCTTCCTCACTATCTTGCTTGTGGTAGAGTATAGGGCTGAAGGTTGGGCACCTAGAACCGAAGATGAACAAGTAAACTCCTCACTAAGGGGAGGTCGTGTTATAGTCCTTATATTGTAAGGTGAGCTGTGGGTAATCATTCTGTCCAACAATTTGTTTTCTTTTATGGCTGTTGATGGTTAGAAGGTGTAAAATATCTCCTTGCATGCAGGAGTTTGGAATTATGAAATATGCTTGTAGAGATATATAAAACCATTAATATAGCCTCACCCAACAGCTTAAGCTTTTGGGTTGAATTGGTTTATTATATGGTATCAGAGCCTCGGTGTACCGGGTTCGATCCTCACCGTCCTCCACTTTCTTTCAAGTGGAATTTCTTTCTTGGCACAGCCGCACAGGTAGGTGGGCCTATGCATTGTCTACCCTTCAAGCCCAGTGGGTTCTCGTGTGAGGGGACGTGTTGTGATATATAAAACCATTAATATAGCCTTACTCAACAGCTTAAGCTTTTGGGTTGAATTGGTTCTTTACAATGCTCTAGGATTAGGCAGAAAAAGAGGGGGGAAATAATAGAGAAAGGAGTAACTAGAGGGAGAACTTAAAGGACAGTCCTAAGTAACCAAGAAGAGAAGGTAAACCATGGAACTCTTGCCTTCTTTTCCCTTGTTTAATTCGGGCAAGGCTGTTACAGCCTTGTCTCACTCCTATATATAAATTCTTTGGTTGAAAATGGTGTTAAATAATGCTATTGATATGAGATGTGATGAAATGACATTCTACTGAATTGCACGATGACTATGACCAAAACAACAGCCATGATGATGTTATTATATGTACTATGCAATGAGAATTACAAGTTTCAGCCCATATGCTCTGTTTCTACGTTGAGCATGCTGTTCTTGAATACTTAATGTAAAATACCATGAGGTTAAACATGTGGACAGTAAAGAAAGTATGAAGGAAACCTTGTATTTTAAGATATTTATTACTGAAATGGGATGACAATAGAAATATATAAAACTATCAAGTAACCTCACCCATCAATTTAAGCTTTTGGGTTGAATTGGTTCTTTACATGATATCAGAGCCTCGATGTTACGGGTTCGATCCTCTCCTTCCCCCATTTAATTAATAATTAATTAAGTTTTATGGAATTTGTTAGTATAGGTAGGTGGACCTGTGTATTGTCCATCCTTCAAACCCAGTGGGCTCTCGTATGAGGGGGCGTGTTAGATATATATAAAACTATTAATGTAGTCTCATCCATCAGCGTAAGCTTTTGGGTTGATTTGGTTCTTTACAAATTTGTGTGTAGATATATTTCTGTTTGGACTTGTACAAATGTGGAATGCCTGTGAGTGTGCAATGGAATGACGTATAATTAAGTGGAACGAGTTATATGTTATTAACCATATGCTATGTAATTTAATGAATAAAATTACTCTCAATTGCTATTGTGCTATCTTGTGAATAAATGTTAACTCAAGGTGTGAGCATCCTGTGGAAGAAATTCTGGTTCTGTTTTTCTATAATCTATCATGGCTGTTTTTAATTACATGATGTGCCTATAAGACTTTTTACTTCATGAATAGAGCCTTATGCACTTGTATGTGAGAAATATGCTTGATTTATGGAAATGTACTGCCAATTGCCATTTGCATATGCGAATGTGAGCTGTCCCTAAGTATTAAGATGAAAAATTATGTAAATGAGTTGTGGACAGAATGAGAAATGTATTATGTTCTTGAAAGCATGATGAAAAATCCCTTGCCAGATGAATGGATAAGTTCACACCTCTTAGGAGATGTTCGACAGTGAGTATGATTCATGGAGGTGTTACGGATAAGTGTATGAATGGATAAAGTTCACACCTCTGAGAAATCCTACAATAAGCAAGGCTCATGGAGGTGTTACAAATACATCTTGATGTGTTCTTATGATATGCTTGTAAGAAATCTTATATATGTCTTAAAGGCTTGTGAAATACTAATAATTTGTGCAAGGGGAATCCGGATTTTGTGGGAGAAATGACCCCAAGATTTCCTTGATTTATTGATGTTTGAAAAATATAAAACTATTAATATAGTTTTACCCAACAGTTTAACCTTTTGAGTTGAATTGATTATTTATATGGTATTAGGCCCGACATAATTAAGTCGTCGTGAGTTCAATCTTCACCGTCTCCATTTTATTAATAAAAAAAAATTAAATATTATGGAGTTTCTTAGTACAGGTAAGCTGAGCTTGATACATCATTTATCCTTCAAACTCAATGGGTTCTCGTATGACGGGGCATGTTTGAGAAATATAAAATCACTAATATAGCCTCACCCAACAACTTAAGCTTTTGGATTGAATTTCTTCTTTACAATTGAGAAGTATTCTCACCCAACCTTGGGGCTGCCTTGCAGGAAATGACAAAGGAAAAGATTTGGGTATGGAAGATCCAAAGTAGGAAGGGAATGCTGTGTTGTTGGCTTTGTATAGGGATGACTACACGCTAATTGATAACTCATCTATTCTGCAAGGATTATGTCAAAGACAGCCTTAGGCACTACTGACATAATATATCAACGTACAATTGTCTCAAACTTGGCTGTTTTAATTGAAGTGGCAAGGGTATGCAATATAAGTTGTTCATTGTAATTATTAGACCTTTATCTTGTTATCGCTCATAAATCACAACACGTAACCGGCCGGGTCGACATGGGGCATTATAAATATAGAAATTGTTCAGTTGTAGCTAAAGATGTAATCTCAGCATCCTGAGTAGCATTGCTGATGTTATTTTTTGCTGTTTATCTGTGGATTTATTTTCTGCTTTGGGCACTGGCTATCAGATTGCTGATAAATTACAAGTGGAGCCAACATTCATCATACCAAGGACTCATTGCCGCATATTTATACAATGGAAGTGATCATATCTGCAAAGTATCAAAATGGTTCCAACTAGGAAAAAACAATGTGTCTCCCAAACCACTTATATCAGTTTATTGAGCAACTTTCTCTAGTATTTAACTTGGTACTTTTGTATGATTAATATAGCATTAAGTCAATTAAGAGCTTAGTTTGAATATATATATCTCATGTTATAGGAGAGAAGAAATCTTATGTTATAGACACATAGTGGTGTGACCCACTCCCTAAAAAATAAAAAATAAAGAAAAATATTGCACGGTTATCGAAGGAGGTGTAGAAAGAAAACTTACCTCATGTGACATTAGAATAATTTTTCTCATATATATATATATATATATATGGTTTAATATTTCTGCTTTTGTTGCAGAAATTTTTTTCTGCCACAATGAGTGTCTTATTATAATTACTAAATGGGTTTGTTACTCAAAAAAAATTACTAAATGGGTTTAATATTTTTATTTTTGCTGTAGAATTTTTTTTCTTCCACACTCAAATAATAGTGAGTGGATACCATAAAAAAATTTTCTCTCCCTCTTTATAATGAGTTTCACTCACTTTTATGTGAGTGTAGTAAAGAAAATTTATGCAACAAAAGCATAAATATTTTTTCGTTACTAAAATCATTATATTACAAAAAAAATTAATTTCACCAAAAACAGTGAATTTCATATGATCCACTAACTTTATGTGAATATAACAACAACAAAAGTTCTACTGTAAACGTAAATATTTTATTTCTTATTATTGTTACTAGCAAATTGATAGTGACGTGAGTGCCCTTTTTTGCATTTTTTAAATTTTATTCATGCAATTCTATTATGATTATGAGTTATACTTAACATATGAGTCTTAGACCTTGAAACATTAAGAGTGAATGAGAGGAAAGAAGTGGAAGTTACATGACAAAAATAAGCTTCTATTTCTTTATATGCAGGTAAGTCTGAAACTGTTTGGTGATTAGTATTTAAATTAATGAACGGAAATTTTAGAAAATATGAATTATTACCAAAAGGACTAATTCCATGTATTAAAAGTATAGGTAGATAAAGATATTAATTATTATAAATATTTTGTCTCATAAATTAAAAAGTTTATAAAATAAAGGAAAAAAATATTTATTCTTTTAAAAGATAGTTATTTTAGTTAAAATTATTATTTTATTTAAGGGAAAAATGTTTCTGCAGATAAGTTATCTGCATTTATTTTCAAAACAACGTCGTTTTGGTATTGAAATCTTAAAAAATTATAAATATAAAGACTATTATAACCCTGAAATAAATTAAAATTATAAAATTATCATGATTTCTACCTCAGAACGACGTCGTATTGACTTACTGTAGATAATTTATCTGCAGTAACGGCCAGAAAAAGTGAACCCTATTTAAATTAAAAATAAAAACTCTCATTCTCTCCCACAATTATCTGTTCTTTGAAAGAGTAAACATTTCTCCCTAAAATAAAATAGGGTTTAACATGTCTGTTTTGCGGCAATTTGTTTTTTTTTTTCTGCCACTCTTTTTCAAAATGAAGTACACTCACTTTTATCTGAACATGGCATTAAAAATTACGGGGGAAATGTTTGTTCTTTTAAATGACACACACAACTTGTGTTATTTCGCTCTCAGAAAAAAGTGAGACTCACATCTTTATATTTTTTTGTTTACTCTCTCTCCTCCTATCTTTTTCTTTCACTTAAAATGACACAACTTTAAGTCCTTTAAAATGATACACTTTTTTCAAAAATTATATATATATATATATATATATATATATATATATATATATATAGCAAAAGCAGAAATATTTTTCTAATACATCTTGCAAAATAAAAACGTTATAATCTCATTAATATTGTTTTCTTGTAAATCATAAAAGTATGGATTTACCACCAAAAAAAAAGAAATAATTATATGGATATATAATATTATATTCGTATTAGTTTTGTCGATTGATTTATATATTCTTCCATGTTGTATTTGAAGAATCTACAATATTTGTTTCTTTGCTAAATTCTCTCATGTGTAGATGTTGACTTCATCGGAATTGCACAATGTCAAAATTACTTTAAATCTGAATTCACTCTTTACTGTTGATTGTTACGAGTTACAACCGAAAGATCATTATACATAAATTTTTATGAATACCACACAAGACACAAAGTGATACATATTAGATAAAATATAAAATATCATCAAAACCTTTGCACCATAATATTGTAATAGTTGAAAGTATTAATCAAATATGTATTTTTTCCAAGATATTATAGTAGGTAACGCTTTTCCGATAGAATTTATCCACTAATGAAGATTGTATTTGTTCCCATTATATATTTTGCTTTTCCACATCACCCTTAATGTGAACACAAACCACCTAACCTTTGTTAATCTTTCAAGTGAGCAAGTAGTATGCTCTAGCAAAGTAGTGAGGATACAGTGAGTCAGTGACCATTATATCCAGAATCATACAAAACTATTCTTCTGGTCCAAAGAAATGAATAGATTTGTTCAATTGATTCCAGGTTAAGTTTGGCACTGAATAAGTTTAGAATACTTATAAATCCATCATTCTTGTATTGTAGACATACATCCCCCTCTCATCATAGTCCATTTCCGAATCACATTATCGCACTGAAAGTAATTGATCAAGTCTCAATCAGAATGAAATCAATTAAGCCTCAATGCCCATCGGTGTTCTAAATTTCAATATTCCTATTGTCACTTAAATGTGATAGAGGCATTTCCATTTGATTTCTCCCACGTCAAAACGGCCATCCTTAAAATTCGTATTGTTACGCCTTTTTTTAATAAAAATGCTTTTTTACTAGTTAAGGGAAGGTAACGGCCACAACTGTAGAAAACAGAGCTTCATTGGGCAAAAAAAGACAAGGGGAAAAGCAATGTGATTATTCCCAAAAAAACTCAAAAAAAAAAACGCTTGTTATTACCAGAAATAAACCGTCCATCACCATCAAAGTTAAAAATTTCAAAAAAAATTACTCTAGGATAAGGCTAAGAATGATAACCCATAGTCAATTTTTTTTAAGGCAATGGAAATTATCTGGATGAAACAATTCTACAAAGCACACAATTAAATAAAAACAGCTTCCAAGATTATCAGATCTAGGGTCCAATGACAAATACAATCACCAACAAAATTGAGAGGGAGTTCGATTTGGTATAAGTCACATCAAAAATCTAAACACTAACAAAGACTACTCAGTACTTAACTGGAGCAAGAACATCAAGTTGGGAACCAAGCTTCTCATCAGCAACCTTTTCAGCTTTCACCCTTAATTTGTTGAGCTGCTTCTTTCCCTCGTAAACCAACTGTGCTCTGTCCTTTCTCTTCTTTTCAAGCTCCTGTGAGAAACAAAACAATTGCTCACTTCAGTAAACATAATAATTATTTCCAATTCCCAAAACACAAATTACATAGTACAACACACCAAATTTCCAACATTTCATCTCGCCTAAAGATTGAACTAACATGAATAAGTAAATAACAACTTTATGGATCATCTATATTCCTAATTCTGGTAAGAAAACAGATTGGCACAATCATAAAAGATCAATAGCAAACAAACAGAGTAAGGGATTTAGATAAAGATAATATTTGAAGCCTGCCTAGCACTTGTATAAAACGAACATTTCAAATATTAGGAGCAACATGAGAAAAGGGACAACAACTTTAGAAAGCAATAACTTACCCTAATGGTATCATAGTAGTTCCATCCAACCTCTGATGACAATCTACCCAGCAAGCAGTGCTTGTGTCCTTTCTGAAGCCTCAACACCCTGATTTCATTGATTAGTTCAATATTCATAAGATAAAGGACATCTTTAGAAACATATATATAAAAAGTTAATTTGTAAAATATTAACATCAAAAACAGTTCACAAAGACAGAACTTACTTGAGAGCATCAGGGACAACCATCCTTTTCATCTTGTCATATGGAGGAGGGATTCCCTCATAAACCTTCAAACGACCAAGAGCAGCTTCCCCTCGCTTTGTCTTATGTGGTATCATCCTATAAAAAACAAAATTTTCAGAACCTTCCCACAATAAGGTAAAATTGATCCTTTTCCACATTTGAGGAACCCATCCTATTCTTCAAAATATTTAGAGCAAACCACAGGAATAATTTAGTAATCACAAAATCTCTTAACAGAAACTTTGTACAAGAAGACTTCTTGTTACATTTGATATTTCATTATTACAGAACAAAATCAAAGAAACAGAATCCTTCAAACATCTTCACTAAGCACAACACGAGAGAAGACCAGGGTTTAAAAAAAAAAACAAATTGTCAAATAACCTCAAACAAATAACTTTCATTTCATACCCCTAAACAAATTATTATCACACTACAACTTAGACACAGGAAAAATTATTATTCTACTATACAAGTGACATGTACTCCGTGAAGAAATGTTCACTTTTTTAATAGATAGATATTTACCACATGAGATGAAAGAGACACAAAGGTTCAAAAAAACAGAAATCAGTAATGATATTTTTAAATTAATATCCAACCAATCAGAGACGATATGACAAAAAAATTAAACAAAAGCCAGTATTTCAAATCAAACAAAAAAACCCTCTCATCCTAAAAAGTCTCAAATTCAAACTAACATTTCATTCATAGAAAAGAAAAGAAAAGAAAAACAGACCCACGAAGAGTGCGCCAGAAGATCTTAGCAGGAGCACGAAAATGGATGGGACCATGGGAAGGCTTGGTGTTCATGCGCTTGCGAAGGAACCTCATGTACTTCATCTTCTGCCTAACGAGTCCACCGGAGATGCAAATTTCCTCGCACCGCACAACCACCACCTTCTGCCCGTTGAGAAGCTCCTTCGCCACGATCGACGCTAGACGACCAAGCATATGGTGCCGTGCATCCACCACCACTCTCTTCGCACAGATCCCTGAACCTGACACCATTTTCAATCCCTTACGCACTCACACAGCACACGGTGAACCCTTTCGGCTTTTGATGTTAGTTGTTTTGCTGCTCCTCTCGGTTGAGAATCTGAAGGTTATGAATATATGAAGGTGCAAATTAGGGTTTTCGAAGCCATGTGATGTGTGTGGGTTGGGCTTTAAGCTAAGCCCAACAGACCCGAAGATACATTCGTTTATCCTTTAAATGAAAGAAATATTATATTTTTAAAATTACATTCTTTAGATCTTATTTGAATTATCCATGAATATAAATTTTATAATTTTAAATATATTCGTATTAATACATTTATACTTTAATTATTTTATTTTATATTTTGTGTAAATTTAAAATTATCTACATAATACTTGTAACTTGAGTTTTTATTTTTTTTAAACATTAACTATTGTTGTTGATTTTTTTTTTTAAAAGATGTATATTGTATAAGATAGAAGATGTATTTTGTAATCATTTTATTTTATTATAATTTATTCTTATATTTTAAATTATGAAATACTTTTAAAGTGCCTAAATATTTTAATTTAATTTTTTATAAAATGTAAATTTTTATTTGTAATTTTTATTCATTGAAATTTTAGATTTTAATTTTTAAATTAATTAGTATTTTAAATATTTTTTAGTTAAACTAATCATGCAAATATAAGTAAAACAATTGTGTTTTAACTTTTTTTTTTTAAAAACTGTTATCCAACACATAAAATAGCTCAAAACGATTCTTTCATTTAAAAAATAAAATAAAATCTTTTGTTAGAAAAAAAAAAGCTTAGCCAAATACCCCCTTACTCATTTTTCTTATATGTTTAATATTTTTTATATAAATATTTTCAAATTATGTTTGAAATAATGTAAATCATATTTTCACTCAATTTATGTTTCAGTGCGTGCGCACACACACACACATATATATATATATATATATTTCAATGATTCTGATTTGAAAGTACGTGACACCATTAACCTTTGTTGATCTAACGGCTCTCAGATGAGTTGTCAAATTTAAAATTTGACATTCGTATCAAAGTATCCTACCTCATATATATATATATATATATATATATATATATATATATATATATATATTAAGGGGTTTACATTTCTACGGCTGCTATACGTGCAGCAATCAAATACTTACCATATATATACTGACATAATATACTTGTTCATTGTAACTCCCATCAACAAAATCTTTTGTCAAAGAAAACTCAAGAAGAATGTCAAGAACTGCGTCAGAAGGCTCTGAGTCTAAGAATGAAGCTTTAGAGTGCAAGAAAGATAAGATACAAAATGATGCAGTGTTGGGTGATCTTGAAGAGGATGATGGTAGGAAGAGATGGTTGGGCTTTCAAACAACCTCTTCATGTTAAGGTTTTGGAGTTTCTTGATAACCATGAGGCTGCATCCAAGCCAACATGTTTGAAGGATATTGAGTTCATATTGAACAAAAGGTTGTACACAGCAACTGAGGAATTTGCAAATGATATGAAGCTTGTTTTCTCTTATGCATTGTTGTACCCTTCGAGAAGTGAGATTCACAAGATTGCAATGAGGGTTAGTGATAATTTTGAGAGCAGTTGGAAATCTTTGAAGAAAAAGTGGATACATGAGAAAAGAAAAGGAAAGAAAAATATGTCCAAATGTTGATAGAGAAGCTGCAGATCATTGAATAAGGTTGTTGAATCGTGGTTAGAGTGTTTTGATTCTTTGTCATGGTTACTGCTTTTTTGTTTTTAGGTTAATAAGGAGGGCCAAGCCCAGAAAGAAAACCAAGAAACAGAATTAATGCTCTGTTTTTTATATTTGATGTGATATTATATCCTAATGGAAGGTAACTTTGTAGATCTTTGATATAATTTCATCTATTTTCTACTGGTCTCTATCAATTTTGATATTTTTCAATATTGGTGTCTCATTGCATTTTCTATGGAAATTTTATCCATTGGGGAAACTGATTAATTTTATCCTCTCTCTTTTTGTCTCGGGCCCAAGTATCTGTCGACATTCATGGACTTGCAAAAAAATTATCACATTTAGACATTTGGTAATCACAATATGAAACCAGGGCGGGAGTGTATAGTGTTTTGGAATTGAGTTGTTATTTTTTTAAGGTTTAAATGAAGCAAACCAGAGTTTCTAATTGGTTTCTAACTACAATCACAAATCTTGTCTCTTTGAATATTTTTAGTCTTAACTAATTTCAAGTAGTTTAATAATATTCTTATTTGAATCCGTTTTCTAAATGAACTCATTTACTGAAGATATTATTAGCAGATTGTGTACTCTGTACGTCACTATTGTACTTTAAAATAGCGGATAAGGAAACATTTGCTAACTGCAGTTGAACAATTGCTTTCTACGAATTGACTATTTTGTGAATCTCACTTCCTTTTAAGCAATTTTGTGTCACTCTATGAACTGAATTTATGTGTGTTACCGATATACTGCAAGGCTACCTACTTGTTTTTTGTTTACGATAAATGTGGATCTTACATTGTGTGGGGAGTTTGAGTTAGATATATGTTGAGTGGGGAGAATAGGTTTTACAATTCTGCAATTAACTGACATTATAAAATATGCATGCAACTTGTTACCATATGATGTCCACATGTAGTTTAATGTCTCTTACAGCCCCCTCTTCAAACTCTGGGTGATTGCAAAACCTGGAAGAGATCAACCACACAGTTTGTGGTTAGTGAGGAGTTTGGACATCAGAAATCTAATCTTTTGAGCTGGAACATGAGCAATAATCAAGCTCTTGTTGATGACTTTCTCTTGAACAAAGAATATGTCTAGATCAATGTGCTTGGTTTAAGTGTGAAGTTCAGGATTGTGAGATAAGGCCACCATACTTAAGTTGTCACAGTAAATGGCAGGACTTAGATGTGGTAATAGGAACATGTAGGCATTGCTATATTTAATGAGTTTACAGCCACTAACCGTAGGTGCAAAGAGACCCTTTGCATCATTCCTTTGGGCCTTGGCATATAAGTTCCCAATATATTTGCATTGCATAAGTAATAAGGAACCATTAGGTAGATGTTAAACTTCAATTCCCAAAAAGTAGACAAGAGAGATAAGTTGTTTGAGAGCAAAAACAGAATTAAGCTTGGTCATCAGCTGTTGAATGAAAAGAGAGGTGTCACATTTGCTAAAGAGGAAACCAAAACTATGTAGTGTAGAATTGAGCCTTTCAAGCCATGCCCTAGCAGCCTGTTTAATTGCATAAATAGCTTGTAGCTTGCACACAAAGGACTTATCTAAGGCTTCAAATGCTGAGGTTGGGCCATGTAAACTTCCTCGTCAAACAAGCCATTACGGAAGGCACTATACTCATCAAGTTGCTGTGCAACCATGAGTATAAGACAAGGTGAGTATAATGTGAGAACATGGAACTTGAGTGCAGTTGGAAATCTTGAAGAAAAAGTGGTTATGTGAGGAGAGAAAAGGGAAGAAGATTTATGAGAGGGAAGTGTGTCCAAAAGTATGACATAGATGGCTAAACCAAAAGCTGGTGGGGAAGGGGATAGAGATAAGTATTCTTAAGGAACTTTGTTCTGCAATAGATTGTTATGGTTCTTATTATATTATTTTGAATTATCACTCTAATATTCATGGAACTTCAATTGTTATTATTTTCAACTATCACCTCAATATATTGTTATTCTTCTGATTATGTTATTTTCTTAGTTTATGGGAATTTATTTAACTCAAAAATTTAATATTCACTCTTGTTTTATCCAAGTGTTTGAAGTTTGCTGGTGCTCTTAATTAGTCCAATTGAGAATGAACATGTTTGTACACAAATATGCATCAATGTGAAGTTGTGCAGAGTGCAGAATAATCCCCAAGCACAAATACCCATTTCCATCCAAATATAATGTCATTGTTAGAATGTTTACATGTTATGTAAACAGTATGTGAAGTATATTTATGCAGAAATAGTTGAACAAATTATACGATTAGCATCTAAAGTAGATGAGGTTGCAATGAAGAGATCACATAACTTCAGGGGGGAAATTTCCAAAGGATAAAAAGCTTTGCATGGCTTTCGTTACTACCTTCACAATGGAATACCCTTCAACTCTATAACTACAACCAATTGCAGCACCCCAAGCAAGGGATCATACAATATTTGTTTCTCAGAGTAGAAATATAGCCTCCTATACAAACCAAAATTAGTATCTTTCGATAATTCATATGAAGCTTTAATGATAAAAATAATATCAATAACTGCAAAGAAGAGAAATCATTAGAACTGGCTAATTTACCCCACAATAAAAAAATATAATTATATATAAAAGTCAACCTCGTTATATGTCAAAGGCACTGTTTGTGACACACAAGATATGCTTCTTTTGATACATGAAGTAGCTTTCAGTTAAGAGAGTCAAAACCCGATTTCCTTATAAAATGCAAAAATCAACAATCTGAACCTCGTTGATATAACTAGAATTTGTATGTATAAAAGATTTTGAGCCATTTGAGGCATTCAGTTAGGTCCTGCAAATCTAAACTTTCAAGACACGAATATATTCTTGTTCTTTATTTCATCCTTCAACAAATGTAAACAGTTTAATGATAGTTGCACCTTCCTGCAGTTATTTTCCAACACAAGAAAATCATATTCCTTTGCTAACCTTCAATTAAGCTATTACTATGAAGAGTGTTGTTAATTGGTTTTAATTTTGATGCACCTTGTATTATGTTGTTCAACAACAAAATATACAATGTAAGATAACTTATCAAGAAAATCATAATTTAATTTTTTGTTATCAAGAAAATCATAGTCTTTATCATTATAATTTTTTAATCTTTCAACAACAAAAAATGACGTCATTTTGAGAGTGAATGTAGATAACTTATCTACATTAATTGTAAAAACATTAAAGCCTTCTTTTAATCAATTCAATGCTTTCAAAATTATTTTAATAAATAAATATTTAACATTTTCTTAAAATAGTCAATACAAAATATTAATTTTTCATAATTTAATTTTTTTAATAAAATAATATTTGCATACAAATATACAATGTAAGCAAAATTTTAATCATTTTTCCAATAACTTTGAACCGTTGTTTTTATATAAAAAACATAGAACTCCTCACTTTTGATTATTTTCTTGAATAAAGATATTTTCATTCATTAATACTTACCATGGAGTTTTTTATTAATCAATAATATTTTCAATACATGTGAAAATTTTAACGGTTTAATTTTTTCAGTAAAAATTAATTCAACGAGATTTTTTATAGCACTCTCAATTGTTTTATGGCCACAAATCAAGTAATACATAAATTTTAAATAAGTTCAACAATTTTTTTTTACTACGAGGTTGTATTGGATTGAGATTTTAATGGATTATTTTTAGACAAAAAAATCCATGATAGCTTTCTTTTGAGTAATTTTAATGCTTGCAAATCTCTTCAACTGATTAGGAATCCACGATATAAGTATATCATTATCTAGATAACAAAAATTCACATGCAAGCAAAAATTTAACTATGAAAGATCAATTCAAAGTTAGACTAAAAAATATGAATTCAATAATTAAATGAATGTATTGAACGAGTTTTTCATTTTTTTCAATTATTGTAAGGGTAATTTCAAAAACACCTTTATACTTTTATTTCCCATTAGAACCATGGGTATCACTAGGGCCGGCAAAATGGGCTGAGCCCGCCGGGCTGGCCCGCCCCGCCTGCCAAATGGGGCGGGCTGGGTTGAGTTTTTCAACCCACCAGCCCGCCAAACCCGCCAGCCTATATAGGTCAGCCCGCCACGGGGCGGGCTAGCCCGCCAAGTCCTTTTTTTTTTTTTTTTAGGTTACCCAATTGTTATGTAGCTCCGTATCTTAGATTTCTCTGCATGCAAGTGGCTTTTTTGAATTGATGTGGACTGCTCATACAACACTTTATTACTTGTTTTGTTACTCTATTTTATCCTGATATGATTTTATTTTTTTATTATTATTTTTGGAATGAAAGATGCATATTTATATGCAGATTATTAAACACTGATCTTCTTGGTTTCATAAGCACATTAGGATTTTATGCAGATTTTTGTATGCTTTTATGCAGATTTTTTTATGTGATTTTATGCAGAATTTAAGTTTTTGTATTTTATTTTTATATTTTTATATTTTTATATTTTAGGCGGGCTGGCCCGTAGCCCGCCAGCCCACTCATAAAACGGGTCAGGTTACTCCTTTTAACCCATTTTGTCAAAACGGGCCGGGGCGGGCCAGCCCATTTTGGGCGGGCTAGTGGCGGACCGGGGCGGGCTGGCCCATATTGCCAGCCCTAGGTATCACAACGTAATATCACATTATCTCATTTTTAGGAAGTGATTTAGATCTAATATATGAAGGTCCAATCCAATAAAAGCCTAGAAGGCCCAATAAACCATAGACTTAACCCTGAAGAAACCACACTCGTATGTGAACCGTGGACATCTCGCCTACTAGGGATGTTCATCAACCGATCCAAACCGACTCAAACCGCGAAAACCAAACCGAAAAACCGATAACCGAATAAACCGAAAACCGAAAAATCAAAAACCGAAAGAAAACCGCAAATTTTAATTGGATTGGATCGGTTTTCGGATGGGTTGATGAAAACCGATCCAATATATTAATTATCCTCTACTTATTTGTCCTTTCTCCAATTATAACCCAAAAATTTTTAAACTCAAGACCCATTAACTCATCAACTAAACTAAAAAAAAAAAACTTAGTCACGTCTCATCAACTATAGTATTGTTTACTGATATTTTTGTATTTCAATTTTTTTTTTTTACAAAACCAATATAAAAGATGTTATTTGCACAATAATCATGAAACTAATTTTAGGATATTCAAAAAACCGAAAACTGATCCAATCCAAACCGAAAAAAATTGGATTGGATCGGATCAGATTTGAAAAAAAATCTAAACTGAATGGATGATTACATGATCAAACCGAAGGGATTGGATCGGATGAGTTTTGCTTCCAAAACCGATCCAATCCAGACCGCGAACACCCCTATCGCCTACTGAGTTGACAAGCCAAAAGTGACTTAATAACTAAGGAAACATCATTGCTCATATCAGCAGCTCAGGGCAACTTGACCTTCACTTAAACTCAATACATGAATGGCAGCACCAACTTACCACTACATCTATTGAAACTAGCTTGACTCTAGGCTTTTCACCCAAGAAATAGCTCGTGAAAGGCCACCATTATCCACCAATAAGAATTGACATCGCCTTGTGAAAGGCGACTTGAAGCAAGACATTCTACATTATAAATGCATAGGCATTCAACCCATGTAATCTATCTCTCTTTGAATATTTGAACTATATTGAATACTTAACTGGTTTGAGCGTCAAAGTGCCTTATAGTTGCACGTACCCCCTAGTCTCCTCCAAACTGCTCAGACATCAAACTCGTGAATCTACCATCTCGCCAAGCAACTCAACGTCTCGGCAAGACTCCTTGTCATTCATCATTTTCGTCATCAACATCCATCACCTTCAATCGTGTGTGATCAGGCCTAACCCAATATTTGTTGGACTGATCATTGACGATGTTTGTGGGAAACGATAAATTTTGACTCCCACTCCATATAAATAAAATAAATGGTTGATACCAGGAGCAAGATGACGAAGTCTCCAAACGTATCAAAAACCAAAAAGAAGAAAGGCCAGTCATCTCGCAAGAGAACAACCTCATCTGTGTCTCCAACCTCCCTTCAGTAGAACAACCCATCAATTCAACAAGTAGCTGTTATGGACCAACATATCCTCGAACTCCTCAAGAAACAAAGCCTGGGCTTGAAGAACAGTAAAAATATTTGCTAGAAATGAAAAAATTGCAATTTGATCATGAAAAACATTCGAATATGTATGAAAATCTGATGATAAATGAAGGATGTGTGTTGACTACATAGATCTTAACAAATCTTGCTCAAAAGGACTCCTACCCATTACCCAATATCGACAAATTAGTTAATAATTCATCAGTTATCAAATCCTATGATTTATGGATGCACACTTAAGGTACAAAACACAACTTTCATAACGAATAAGGCAACTTATTGCTATATCATGATGTCGTTTGGCTTGAAGAATGTTGGTGCCACAAACCAAAGGTGTGAATACAAGGTATGTTTTGATGATAACAAATGGATAACAACAAAAAGATAAGAGCATTGATCAAGAGCAAAAAGTATCAACCAATCTGTGTTTGAATACCGTTTCTAAAAATAATTTTTTGATTTCCAGAACAAAAATTGTAAATTGTTTTTTAAAAATTGTAATTGTTTTTTTAATTTTTAGAATCAAATTTATAGAACATGTCTGAGTTATTTTATTTTGTGTTTTAATTTAAAAAAAAGAAAGAAAACACATCTTCTCGCAACTATTCTATATAACAGTTTTAAAAATAAAAAACTAAAATACAAGTGTAAAGATATTCTTACATCAAAAATTTTTACTACTAACTCATTACCCATTGGATCAAAAAGAGAGAATATTAAAAAGTTTTTAAGGAGAGAGAAAATATTAATCTAACGGTGATTAGATAGGTAATAAGTTGGTAATGAAAAATTTTGGTAGTTAGAATATTCATCCTCAAAATACAAACCCTAAAACATTATAAACAATTTGAATAACACGAGCCGGTGATTAAATAATCGACTGCTCTCGCTTCAGTCTTGAGTATCGTAGTCTGAACGGAAGCTTTAATTCGCCCTCCCTGTTAGGTGTGTGACTGCTACTTGCTTTCTTGTCAATTAGTATGTTTATTTGATTCTGCTTATGCTTAAAAATTAAAATCCTTTTCTGTGTTCAGTTTGATTAATTGATGTCATTGGTGCTTACCTTGCCTTTTGGGTGTTTGATAAAATGACCTAAAGGGATTGGTTGACATAATTATGTAATGTGGCAGCATTTAATATGTTCACAATTTTGCATTTTGCAGGCTTGAAATCTATATTGATTTAAGTATTGTTTAGATGCATGCAACTATATTTTGTTGAGAGATATTATATTGGTCACTTTTATTCCTTGCTATAGAACTCTTGGTGTAGGAATTTTAAATGATGGAGAGGCTACTGATCATGGTTTGTTATTAGGAAATCTTGGTTCTTTTTTATTTTCCCACTTTTCTGTATAGAAGTGTCTTGTTTTTTTTTTTTTTTTGGTTTTTAAAAGTATCTTTACAAGGAAAAGTTTTGTGGTTCCTGTTGCCATCTCTCAGTACAACTAAAAGGGAAGACAAACGAAAAAGCTGTATGGGAAGTAGCATGGCATAGTTTGTTAATTGTTGTGATTAATTCTTTGTTAATTGTTATTTCTCTATGGGTTTTTTGTTTCAAGTGAGGGCTATTTAATGCTGCTGAGTTAATTGTTTCAGTTACATGGTTTTCTATGCAGGACACGTTGCTAAAGCCACCGAAAGCTGATTGCATTAATAGAATATGATGAGAGATTGAAACCCAGAAGCTAATGACAAGGAAAATTAGTGATTCAGAGACATGATTATAAATTTCAATAGCTTGACAACTAAGTGAACTTTAAAAAGTTATATTAGTACATGAAAAGGAGGAATTTTTTAGTGAAGCTATTGGAATCTTGCTGCAGTAAGATCTCAACTACACAGTTGCATTCACAGTGTTTGAAAGTGGGCCTTGCTCATGATAGTTTCATTGTGACCAAACTTAACGTTCTTTATGCTAAATATGCATCAATTAGCCATGCGTATAGGGTGTTTGAAGAAACACCTCGTAAAACTGTCTATCTGTGGAATGCCATGCTTAGGAGCTATTGTTCCAAAGGAGAATGGGTAGAAACTTTATCTCTATTCAGTCAACTGAATGTCAATGCTATATCAACTGAGGAAAGACCTGACAATTACACAGTATCTATTGCTTTAAAATCATGTGCAGGTTTGCAGAAGCTTGAGTTGGGTAAAATGATTCACGGATTTCTAAAGAAGGAGAATATAGATAATGACTTGTTTGTGGGGTCTGCATTGATTGAGTTGTATTCCAAATGTGGACAAATGAATGATGCAGTGAAAGTGTTTGTGGAGTATCCAAAACCAGATGTGGTTTTATGGACTTCAATAATTACTGGTTATGAGCAGAGTGGCAGTCCTGAGCTTGCACTTGCATTTTTCTCCCGAATGGTTGTGACAGAGCAAGTAAGTCCTGATCCAGTGACACTTGTTAGTGCTGCTTCTGCATGTGCTCAGTTATCTGATTTTAAGCTTGGAAGAAGTGTACATGGATTTGTAAAAAGAAGGGGTTTTGACACTAAGTTATGTTTAACAAATTCATTGCTAAATTTATATGGAAAAACTGGTTCTATCAATAATGCAGCTAATTTGTTCAGGGAAATGTCAAATAAGGATATTATATCTTGGAGCTCAATGGTAGCCTGTTATGCTGATAATGGAGCTGAAACCGATGCGTTAGATCTTTTCAATGAAATGATAGATAATAGAATTGAACCCAACTGGGTTACTGTGGTTAGTGCATTGCGAGCATGTGCTTCCACTTCCAATTTGGAAGAAGGTATGAAGATTCATAAATTAGCAGTCAATTATGGTTTTGAGTTGGATACCACTGTCTCTACAGCTCTGATGGACATGTACATGAAGTGCTTTTCACCTGAAAATGCAGTTGACCTTTTCAACAGAATGCCGAAGAAGGATGTAGTTTCTTGGGCTGTTTTGTTTAGTGGCTATGCTGAAATTGGAATGGCACACAAGTCAATGGAGGTTTTCTGCAACATGTTATCTAATGGAACTCGACCTGACGCAATTGCTCTAGTGAAGATTATTGCTGCTAGTTCAGAATTAGGGATTCTTCAACAAGCTGTATGTCTACATTGTTTCGTAACTAAAAGTGGGTTTGACAATAACGAGTTTATTGGAGCATCACTCATAGAGCTGTATGCAAAATGTAGTAGCATAGATAATGCTAACAAGGTTTTCAAAGGAATGAGATATAAAGATGTTGTTACCTGGAGCTCAATAATTGCAGCTTACGGATTCCATGGGCAAGGAGAAGAGTCATTGAAATTATTTTATCAGATGGCTAACCATTCAGATGTTAAGCCTAACAATGTAACCTTCATCTCAATTCTATCTGCTTGTAGTCATGCAGGTTTGATTAAAGAAGGGATAAAGATGTTTGATATCATGGTGAATGAGTACCAATTGAAGCCCAACTCAGAGCATTATGGGATAATGGTTGATCTTCTTGGTCGAATGGGAGAGTTAGATAAGGCCTTGGATGTAATTAATAACATGCCCATGCAAGCTGGGCCTCATGTTTGGGGAGCCTTACTTGGCGCATGTCGTATACATCAAAATGTAAAGATGGGGGAGGTCGCAGCTACGAATCTTTTCCCATTAGACCCTAATCATGCAGGGTATTATATACTCTTATCAAATATTTATAGTGTGGACAAGAATTGGCATAATGCTGCAAAACTCAGGACATTGATAAAGGAGAATAGGTTGAAGAAGATTGTAGGTCGAAGTATGGTTGAGTTAAAGAATGGGGTTCAGAGTTTCGTAGCTGGTGATAGATTCCATGAGGAATCTGCTCAGATTTATGACATGCTGAGAAAATTAGATGCAAAAATGAGAGAAGAAGGCTATGATCCTCAAGTACAAAAAGAGGAAATAATGTAAGTTCTAGTCTTGGCATTGTGGAACATCAAATATGTTGAAGTTGTCCCATTTGAATGGCATGAAGGATGTATACCATTATTTGGATGATTCCTTGTTGTCAGATTGGGGAGAAAAGGTTTTATGGTTTATTGTTGTTTGCTTCTTTGTTTTGGGTCTCGAAATTGGTTCAAAAAAGTTATTAAGATGAAAGGATGAGAGTTTAATCCAGCCACCACCGCACTAGAGAGACCCATGATTGACCTTATTACCTATACATATTGAAAGCAAAATGTTACTGCAAAATACTCAATAGTAATATATTAGAGGTTATTCCATGGGAGAAACCATGACAGACCCCATGGATCAACTTCAATTATTGCTTTCTGCGCAAGCCAACAAATGAATTGCTTTGATGGTTCTTTTTTTGTAGCCAATATCCCTGAATATTGGACCTAGGCTTTGTCCTTCAAAACAGCTGTATGATTTCCATTTGATCCATCAGTCCATAGTGTCTTATGAACACAAACAAAAACACAGACAGACATGCATCTTTTGCTTCTTTACAAAACGGTATATTATTTTGATCCATTGTTGTCCTATACTCCAATTAGGTACAGTTTTATACGGTTTTGATTTGATGTTATAAAAGACGTAAGCTACTGGATGCGTAAATATTTTAGCAGGAGATAATATGTAAGTATGAGTGCCAAATACCATAACTATTTTTTTTTTTAAAATAACTAAATTTGTTTTATATAAGCAATATCACAACGTCTTTTTCGATACGGCGGGACGCATAGATGAGACTAGTCACTTCGAGCATTAAAATGAAAAGGTAGATCGGATACCCAAAAGAAAAAATAATTGTGTCAAAGTTTGACTTTTTTGGGAGGATTATGAGTAGGGATAATGGTAGTACTAGTACCTTTCATTCGAGGTTATTTAGGGTGGACCGGGTCTCGGTGTTCCTTGATCAAAGAAAGAAAAAAAGAGTAAGGGGTAATTTAAAAAGAAGATAGGGATATAAATGTAAAAAAAAAATTTCTTTATTAGAAAAGAAGCATCCCAAAAATTGTGTACCGGGATCATAATAAAAAAATCCCTTTCGTTCCATGTTGGTTATTTATTAAATATAAAGTTATTTAAAATAAGTACATAAGTCAGTCTTTTATTATTTAAAAGGAAAAAATTTAATTTCACCCATTGTGGTTTATGTGTGTGAATTGTTTGTGTTTGTAGAGCTGAAGATGTATCCCTCAAGTGATATAGTATGTTGATCTAGGGATGCTCTTAGTAGCAATAGTAAAGATCAAGGCTCAACATGAATTTCGTAGGTGCTAGGCATATATTCTACAATAGGTGATTGTGTTTGGCTATGGTGGCATCTAATCTATTCACTTTCACGAGTGAATAGATTAGATGCCCCTTCAATAGGACAAAGGGACAGTTATAGGGAAAATGAGATTTTCCAAGCGTGGGAGAGAGAATGAGGAGAGAGGGACAAAGTTGTACCACCGTTAGCCAAGCCTTGCATCTGTCGCAGTGCAGGGAGAAGAGGAATCCACTGTGATGAGGTTCTATAGCTCATCATGGGGTGCCTTCTAAAAGATTCTAAACGTGAGCTTTTAACATTAGACCCAATTTATTGGGCCTATAAAATGGGCAAGCCAGAATAGAAGCCCTCCAATTTGGTAGCCTATGAAGTCAGGATGCCAAGGGAACTTAAGCAGCCCGCCGTAGAGTGTAGTGTTTAAAATAGAATACAATGATCTAATCGGTCAGTAATGAGCCTTTATGTTGGTCCTCATGTCTTGTTTGCTTTGCTGTGTTGGCATACGTCACACCATCATCAGTGAGGTTCTTCATTTTGATGGAGTTATGCATGTGCGCTAATCAGTACTTGCTCCTCGTGTTGGTCTCACTGCCTGCTTATATTTATTGTCTTCATGCACGAATTACCTGGGCAGTAAGATCAAGTGCTTCAAGTTAGAGTCTTTTATTTTTGACTTGCAACCATGCTGATGTTCTGATCGGTCGGCCCTTGAATAATCTTCTTGTTGGAGATAGGGTTCTTTTGAATATTGCTTGTAGGTGGGTCGAGCATCTTAGTAATAATTTGCCTAAACATAGCTATAAATTCCATGTTTGACATATGAACTACGTTTATGTCGATAGGTAACATGAATAGATATTCCAACATCAAGAAACAATAAAGGGAGGAGATTCGACTGGTACTGAAACTCTCATGTTTGTCGAGGTAAACTTTGATCAGTTGGATATTTCGTATACATCTAGTAGGTCTTGTGCCAATTAACCAACTTCACAATGGCAAAGCCAACACTTAATATGTGGGGCCCTTAACTAATTTTGTCATCTGTTGAGATAAGTATTTCTTCTTCTCGGTCAGCAACCTTGCTTTGTCTAAGATGGACAATCTGTGTGTTGCAGTCCAATAAATGGTACCCTTCTCGGTGGCTGTATAGAAAAGGCAAATTGAGTTGATCAGTTAAGTTAAATAGAAGATGCGTTAAATAATCTCGGTATATAGTTGACAAATTTGAGTCAAGGATAACTAATGGTCCTCTGTAAGCTTCTGCACCTTTATCGCTTCCTCTTCGTGGGTCACTTTTCACCTTCTGCATGAGGAAATTTGTTGCTGCTCGCCATAATTTTTCTTCGAAATGGATGCATATCAGGACCTATTCACCCCGGATATAAAACTTATTTCTTTCTCAGTAAACTTCTACATGGTATATTCTAAAGAAAACTCCAGTCGTCTGATCAGTTCATGTGGTCTTGGAGCACTCAACAATAACATGATAAGGAAATATTGATTTGGTAATCCCTCGTCTATCACATATAGACTAGTCGACTTCCCAGCTGGACTCTTGATAAAGTTGGTTGCATGTGAAGAAGTTGATGGAGTTTATTGGATGACCTCCCGGCTAACACATGCTGAAGAAGTTGGTTGGCTGACCTACCGGCCGACGTTCTTTGATGAATTTGGTTACCCAACCTCTCGGCCAACACTTGTTGATGAAGTTGGTTGGTCGACACCCCAACCACTGCCAATGAAAGAAATTATGTGCCTAGCCAAGTTAGGTCATAAACCTGCAACAATTAATATCAATAACATTTAAACAATAATAATATGTCTAGTCGTGTTAGGTCTTTAAGAGTGTCTGGATGGCTTGCCATGTCTTCATTTCCTAATGAGTTATTAATCATCTAGGTCTTTAACTGCTGAATGGCACGCTAACCATCTAGGTCTTCTATCTTAGGTGGCACACTGACCGACCAGGTCTTCGAAGCCTAGATGGCACGCTGACCATCTAGGGCTTAGTCTCCTAAATGGCATATTGACCATTCAGGGTCTTCATTCCCGGGGGAACACTGATCGACCGGGTTTTTGATGCCTAAATGACACGCTGACCTTCTAGCACTTAGTCTCCCGATTGACACGCTGACCATTATGGTCTCTATCTTGGATGGCACACTGACCGACGAGGTCTTCATGCCTAGATGGCTTGCTAACCATCTAGGACTTGTTGATCTTCTTATTGGGGTTGCAATAGACACCCTGAAATTGTGGAGATAACAAACTTGCAAGTGGATTTCATCCATTAGTTGTTAGGGAGGTCAGAGAAAAATGATAATCAAAAAAGGCATAAAATATTCAAAGAGTATCGTAAATGTGCTGGTGATCAGTTGCCCTTGTTGGAGGTCAAAAATTAAATATTGACCATCTGACGGCCAATATATGTTGCTGGTCACCCGATGTAATAATGTTAGCTGCTCGACTTTGTAGATGCTGGCCACCCGGGTAGTGTGAAGGCTGGCCATCTTGCTTTATATTTGTTGGCCATCCAACCAATGTGAATGCTGGCCATTTGGCCAAAGTGCGTGTTGGCCACTTGACCAAAATAGATGTTGACCAAATGGCCTTATACATAAGGCATGGAGACGTACCGCCCTTCAGTTTGATAAAATTTGCAAGAATTATTTATCTTTGAATTTAGTTTATTTAATCATCATAATAATAGTAACTTAAAATTAAAGTCACAATCTGATCGCCTATCTCCCTAACTGATGCCTTGCCAACTTATAAGATCATATATATTTATTATAGGTGCACAGTATAGTTGTATAGATCCTTGCCAACCTATGAAATGATGTTATAGAAATCTTGGGAAATCGAACCAAAGGAAAAGAAAATCAGGCCATTAGACTCATCATAAAGGAGATAAGTGGCATAAGAAAAGTGAATGAAGAGAACCTGCACGAATACTAGGAGAGATTCAAGAGACTGTGCGATCTGTCCACGTTACCAGATCCCGGATCAACTCCTGATTGTGTATTTATATTAAGGCTTGTTGCCCATTGACAGAAGTATGATAGATACGGCTAGTGATGGAGTTCTAGTCAACAAGACACCTACTCCAGCCAAAGAATTGATAGCAGACATGGCCGCAAATGCTCAGCAGTTTGGCACTACAGCAAATAGCAGTGCGGCATTCCAAGTGAAAACACCCCCTATCCAGTCTTCAACAGCCACAACAGCAACATCAAGCATGGACAATTAGAGAATTGAAAACAGGCTTGACGAGCTGACTTGGCTAGTGAGACAGTTGGCGATGATGCAGACAGTGCAGTCTCCCACTCCACAGATGAGCAACCCGTGCGGCATCTACTGCGATCTTCTCTATCCCATGAATGCTTGCCTATTCCTGGCAGTAGACCAATTAGTAGCTGCAACAGGAATCTTTATTAGTAAGTTGCAGTATCAGCAGCAGTACAATCCTTTCACCAATACTTACAAACCGGGCTGGAAGTAGGGTTGGCAAAAAGGGCCAACCCGGCCCAACCCATTTGCGACCCGAAAAAAACGAGACGGGTTAGTGGCTCGAAAAAAAGAGAGCTAGAAGACCCAACCTATCCTGACCCGAGCCGTGTCGGGTTGGCTCGAAAAAATGGCTCGCGGGTTGACTTGAAAAAAATGGCTCGTGAGTTCACTTAAATAATGGATTTACTTTTACTCTCTTTGATATATTGTCTTTTCTTCAAATTTTTAACTCAAGACATATGCCATTGACAGACACGAGATGGATGTCCCAATGAATATATATTTTTGGTTAAAATAAGCCAATTGAAAGAGATCGATTCACTC